ATTGAGCGGGATTGGGTCACGGGTATATCGGCCGACAAAGAGAAAAGGGGGTTGAGGTTAAACGGGTTGTGGTCTTAACCCCTCGCCCTCGAATGAGTTCTTGAAGCATGTCTGTGCAAAGCAAAGTCGGCTGTAAAAAACTGCAAAGACATAAGGCGGTCGAGAAGGCCGCCTATATTAAAATTAAAAATTTGAGCGTGTATGTGGGATGAGACTCTGAAAAGACTAAGGGGTGTACAGGACGAATGCAAACGACAAAAGAAAACCATGCATGATGTATGCGACAACAGAAGTCACGGGTAGGATGGCTGAAGAAGGAAGCAGGCAAAACCCTAGAGAGGCGTAGGGGGATCGTGGGACATGGTCTACGGGCCGAGCCGAAGGGTGGCCGCAAACCCAACAAGGCTTTAAGGACTCCCCACTTAGTGAATGCATGCGTGGCCCAAGGAAAATGTTTAGCCTACGCATAAAAGAAGACGGACTTTCAATAAACTCCCTAGACTGCTTGACTATTGGAAGAAGCAATTGCATGATAACACCTCAAAGCATCAAGAAAACCCGCGTTTTTACGAAAAGATTGACGAGACTACCATCCAGCGAGAGGGTGGAGCTACATCCCCAATGTCAAAATCTCTCGCAAAATGGTCCATCCTCATCCATCTTAAAGCACTAGGTAGGGTTGCCCCTGTGACGAACGTTCCGCGTCCTGAGCATGAGTATGGGCGGAGCATAGCCAACTGGTACTCGTAGTGGGGTCGACTCATACTCGAAAGTCTAACAGGGAAGAACGGTACAACGTCATTACATAGAAAGAACAAACAGAGAAGTTAAGCTTAGTAAAACATTTGTTTCCTTGTATTTGTTTTGAATAATTCTTGTTGTAGATGTTGCGTCCGTCGTGTAATTTATTTTTGTCTTCTAATTTTATTTATTGTCCGACATCTGCACATTTGTCAAAATCAACTCTCTTTGAAAATGTTTGCGTGTCTCTATCTTGACTTGGTTCGTACCGCGTCTTTTCTTCTTCACTCTACTTACCGTCTTTGTTGATGAAGAGGGAGTGAAACTGAAAACCCGTTGTCATATTGATGCAAGCAGGCAGACGTTGGTCAGCCTCCTTCGCCGACTTCTTTGTGAGATACACGGTGTCGGTCCAGATGTCGACACGTTCAAAGACAAATCAATCTGTGTGATGCCGAAAAAGTTTTGCAGGTCGTTGAGACTGCCGTTCAGATGATGAAAACAGGCACGAGGGTCGAAGACCTTATTAAGCAAGGACGATTGATCCTTGATCAATATGTCGTCGAAAACTTTGAAAAAATTGACCAGAAAGAAAAACAAAAAAAAAAGGAAGAAAGAGCAAAAAAAACGGAACCACAATTGTATGTGGAAATAATGGAGGAAAATGTCAAACAATTGAAAGATACATTAAGAGAAGAGAGAAGGAAAATTGAAGAGTACAAGAGATGGAAAGAACAACAACAACAGGAAGAAAGAGAGATGAATGAATTGAGGTAAAAGTTTCATTACGAAGAAGCAGCTAGTGAGGTTGCATCTATTCTTCAGTCGATTATGGTTTACCTTATCTCAAGAAGAAGATTGACAGTAACACCGTCGGTATGGAGACAATGATAAGAATGACGAAGGGAAAAAAAAATGTGGTATATGAGGAGGTGGCCAAGATGGGAGAAGACAAGAAGGAAGCCCAAGAGAAATTACTGAAGGATGCAATGAAACGAGTGATACCCGAGAAACCCGAAGGTTCTAAGAAAAAAACCGAGAGACAACTTGAGAAGCAAGAGTCACCCACTAAAAAGAAAGAAGAATATGTAAAGGAAGCGGAAAAAACAAAAAAGAAAAAAAATGTTAAAATGGAACTGCCAAAAATGAAACTGCCATTTACGTACAATAACAAGAAGGGAAAAAACTTGTTGTTGTGGATTGCAAAAATTCTGACCTACGTCGGAACATCACCCGTTGAGCCCGAGAGTTAAATCGCTTTCCCCACATCATGTTCGGGAGGAGTGGCTAAGGAGTGGGTGCTGGTCGAAGCCAATGCTGCTGGTTTCGAGGATATAAGTGAGTGGGCTAAGACCTTGACATTGAGACAATTTCTCCAAGAGATTAAAGAAAGATTTTTTGATAAAACGACAACCGATAAGGTTTTCGACGAACTCTTCACCATTGACCAGAAGTGTTGGTCATCGGTTGATTCACTGTCACGTGAGGTTGATTTTCTTTTGTACGTACCTGGACTGAATCTGCAAGACAACCAGGTATTGTATATTTACTCACGTGCACTACCCGAGCCCATTCATTGACATCTCATGGCGGAATCAAAATCTGCCAAGTATGATTATCGACAGTTTCGCGATCTCGTTGCGCAAAGAGAGCAGATGACCACGCAAGTCAAAGGTACGTACGCTTCGGTAGTCAAATCGGGACCGGTTGGTCGGTACGGCAAATAGGTTCTCTAGAGGTAAAAGCGTCAGGATTATATGCTTGTTGTATTTGATGATGATGCGGTAGATAAGTTACCTCTTGATAAGTCTGACCGAGGAGGAGGAAATGGCAACACTGAGTCCGGAAAGGGTGGCGTCATTGTTGTCATGACCAACAAGGGAGGCCAAGGTCAATGGAAGAAGAAGAGGAGGTCACGCTCGTTTCTCGAGCATCCCGACATCGCGTTCGGGAAACCTTGGGAGAAAATGAACATGACCCGAGAGGAGTGGCAGTCCAAAATGGACAATCGCCAGTGAACAAAAATTTTGTTAAAACGGACATTTTTTTTTTTTTGAACGAAATTGAAACTAAAAGATTTTGCCATATTTTTCTTCATATGTGAAATATTTGTGATAGGAAAAGGGGGTAAGGAGTAAGGGGAGGGGGTAAGGGGTAAGGGGTAAGGGGTAGGGTGTAGGGGATAAGGGGTAAGTGGTAAGGGGTAGGGGGTAAGGGGTAAGGGGTAGAGGGTGAGGGGTAAGGGGTACGGGATAGGGGGTCAGGGGTAAGGGGGAGAGGAGTAAGAGGTAAGAGATAAGATGTCCTTTCATAAGATGTCATTCTTGCACGACCAGTTACATTTTTCGTGAATCGCACAATTAATCCTCGTTACAGTTACAAACTCTTCTTCTCCTATATCACATCTATTTCTGATCACTGCATGGTTATTTCATGTGTCTGAACGTCTTATTGTAAATGGAACAAATTCATCTACTCCGCAACAGCTACGTCGAAAGCTATCCGGCATCGTAGTTTCTTTGTATCATCTGATGTGAACGTGAATGGTGGAAGAAACCCTTTCGCCAATAGTGATGCATATGTCATCATAAACACACTTCACTCGTTGAAGTCACGCTGCTTTGGAATGCCTTCCACTACCCATATATATGGTTGAAGTTTTTTGTGTCAATTTATTGACCTTGTTCGACCGATCTCATGTACAAAAATCTTGCGAACCCCCCAACATTCGATGTCAGCGAATTGTAGTACTCAATTTTCATACGCCTAAGGTATGTCATTACGAGTGTCCAATGTTGGTTGTGCGCGACGTGGAAAGGAGCAATAATCAAGTCCATGTCGCTAATCACGACCTCTATGAACCACCTACGAACCTTTTCCTACTCGAACTTCATATCGCTATCGAATAGTCTCGCGAAAAAAAACGAGCTTAGAATTGCTACTCTAGGAATGCGCCCCTTTCTTGTTCTAACCACATTCTCGTTCTTCAAGTCGCAATTATGGTGCTTGATACGGCATTCATTGTCCAGTGGTACAAGGTTAAGATAAAAACTAACTATCTGCTCATTAAACCAATTTTTCTCTATCATTAGGAAGCTAAAATCGTTGACTGTCATCGTTAATTCTTCTTTTGTGTCTTCGTTAAACGAACTCGCTATGACGTCTATATTCCCAACTTGCACTCGCAATCACATGAGGGCATCCAACTCTTGATCCGTCAACTTCGTTGTTGCCAAGTGGACGGTCCATCCTTTTTTGCACCTCCGGTTATCCTTCATTGTCGTTTGCACTTCACATGACAACGCGCCATGCCTTTATGTGAGCTATTGTTTCCTCCCTTCTATTTCTAGTCATGTTTATTGTATTCAATTTGTTGTAGTAATGTGAATTAGGGCTTACCTTAAACGAGCGGGGTGCTTATAAGAACTAGGAATTTACGTAGTGGAAACCAATACACTACATTATTTTCTTTCGTGCACTTTCATCACTTTCACGAACCGCGTCAAGAGTGTTTTATGACATATCGCACTAATATTTATGATTTACCACACTAATAATCATATTCTTGTTACATTCATCGCCCGCGCGCGCGTGCGCACGCGAGAGAGAGAGAAAGAGAGAGAGAGAGAGAGAGAGAGAGAGAGCACTTTCATCAACCGCGTCAATAGTGTTTTATCACATACCACACTAATATTTATGATATGTCACACTAATAATCATACTCTCGTTAGATTCATCGAGCTCACGCGCGCGCGCGCGAGAGAGAGAGAGAGAGTGACAGAGAGAGAGAGAGAGAGAGACATTGTAATGTATCACGATTGACACTTCCTCTCAAATTCACTGCGGAATCAATTATTTTATCACGCGTCTCCCCCCGAATATTTATTTGAGTTCGGTACACACACATACACACACCTATGTACACACACACGCACACCAATGAATACGCATATCACCCTCTGCATATATATACACATTCATCTGATGTCTTTTCGTTTTTTTTCTTGTCGACCGTCTGGTAGGGAGACTTTCTTCATTCACTCCCTTCTGTTTATCGACATTGTCCTTTGCATCCTCATTGTCATTGTGCCGCTCTACATGTACGTCTTGCCCTTCATCAATTAATGAAATACAATTAATCACAGTCTGTGACGTGGTTGATCCCCCAAGCATCCTCTTCCCCTCATTCTCCGCGTCAATCAACACTTTCATCATCTCATCGAAATTTTCTTGCACCTCACTCGCACGTTCTGCATGCCCACCTTGTTGCATTCCATCTGCGACCGCCATGTTCGTGGAAGGAGTGAGACTCTCCATCTGTGAGTCACTCTGGTTTCCCGCCTGAGTTATTAGAGGAGGCCCGTACGATCCAACGTTCGATTTGTCTTTGTTGACATTCCGTGTTCCCTTGTCCACCTCCATCATCTTGACAACAGTTTGGCTCATTGCTTCCCCAACACTGGCAGCAAAGTGCGTCGTCGACTGCCCCCCAAGCTGTGAGCAACCGGACTGTCTTGATGCCTTGGCACGCAGGAGGAAGTTCGATCTTCCAATCGATGGTCTTGTATGACTGGCTTGACGACAAGTCATAAAATTTGTGTTTATATTCTAGTCGATTGTCTGAGTGCAGAGAATCGAACAGTACTTTAGCCTTCTCCTCAATAGCCGCCTCGTCCACCCCGTCGTTTTCGCACTTGACACGATAGACGATTTCGCTCCTCGCCACTTTCAGCCACGGTTCTTCTGCAAGTCTAGGTTGGATTTTCCATCCCGATGATAGATGCAGTGTCATCATCCACTCCTCCTTGAAGATGCACGACTCGAACACGTCCGTATGCCACAAAATATGATGCCCACACTTCTTAGATGTCGTTTCTGGTACCTTGTCATGAATGAAGTACGGTTGTGCACTGTCCTGCACAATGCGATCGGGGATATCATCACCATGCATGAGCTTCGGGGATGGATCTGGAACAGCCAAGTCATCTTCGTCAGCGTCTGCCAGCTTGTCGTGGTCCGTGTTTCCTCCAGATGGAGGCCTTCCCTGCAACCCGCGACGATTGCCATGAATCAATATATTCTCAAGTGCTCGGAGGGGCGTCGGCGAATCCGTTTGCATCTGGTCAATGGAACTCGCACTGTCCGTCACATCACGCGCAGAACTGCTCGCACCTCCCGAGTTCGTGAGACCTCGTTCTGGATTCTCGTTTTGCACGTTGCATGCAGGCACACTTTGCATTCCCTCCTGCGAACGTTTCGCTCGCTCTTCGATATCGAGGTCTGAGGTTTCAGTCTCCTCGTCGCTCTCGATCGGACACCATGCATCTATTGTCTTGGCGAGGTTACTGTAGTCATCGTATGTCAGCATTATCCGATTTCTCGTGAACTTCAGTTGCTCGCATCGCGCCACAAACATCGCAAACGTAACCACTTGCGCTTTGTGGTAACCACCATATGCTTCCTGTGCCATCGCTTTGCGAACTATGTAGTCATGCTCAAATGGCGACTTGGGTTGGCCTTGGAACAGATAGTCCCACATCTTATTTCTCTTCTTGCCCAGCTTGTGGTACATATCTTTGTCCGGACGATGCGCAGTCTTTTGCCTCTCAGTCGTGCAATCGTTTATAGTGTCCTTCCCAAGAATGTCGATGGCCTTCGTCAAGTACGAGATGTCTTTGGACGACACGTTGTCGGCGCGAATACCCTTACAAGGGTATCCGCCCTGGGTTTTGTAAGTGACAGAAAATGAACTTTGCTTGAAATTTAAGTACACTGCGCGAGTCGCAGTTGCGTTTTTGGTTGACAAGGAGTAGAGAGTGTGTGGGCGGGCGGTTTCGCGGCACGCGTGATGATCCCTATTTTTGATGTTATAGAGTCCACGTTTCCGCCGACAAGATTTTGACTTCTGATTAAAACTAGGAGGGGTTTTCTTTATGTTGAAGTAACTACGGTGCGTGTACGCTCGTACGGAAGGGCGTCACTAGATGGTAATGTTACCTTTGGGCGCTGGTTGGAGCATGCGAAAGGAGGTAGAACGCGAGCGGTGGCCTCCGCGCAGCATTATGGGGGCTACAAGCGTGACGTACCGAGCAAGGTCCGGTCCCTGATGGCGTGTGCGCTCGTACGGGACCTCGGGATTGGAGAGGAAGTCAAGCGGCAACCTTAACGCTGCTGCCGCAGGCCCAGGCTGGCCTCAATTACCATTCACATACCAGGAAGCGCACAACTTGTCCAGGCTTGGGCTTAGCCTTATAGGTTATAGTGCTGGACTTTCACCAGGCGGATCCCGAGATCGAGACTAGCAACGAGCAGCGAGCAGCGGAGCAGCGGAGGAGCGCGTCGGAGTGAGCTGAGGGGTTGAGGGTCCCGCGAGACTATCCCCCTTGGCTTTTTGCGGGGGAGGGGTCAGACCGTGAGCAGGTAAGGCCAAGGGGGAGTGCCAGTGGGCCTCCTCCCCTACTACGACGTCCTAGAGATTTTTTTATTTACTACAATTTTTTTTTTATATATATTATTTCTATTATTTCTCATTTGTCTTGCTCCAATTGTGAACGTGGTCCGACTGTGGCACCAGATTCGGACTTAGAGTCGGCCCGAGAGCCTTGTTCAGTGGATACACCACTGAACTGTTGCAACACAGACCTGGGTCCAAATCCAGATGAGGCTGATTGTCCCGAGGCAGCAAGCTCGACAGTCTGGGTCTCTGCCGAGAAGCTGTCCTTCGGGACATCCGTTAAAATTGGAACGATGCAGAGAGGATTGGCATGGGCCCCGCGTCACGCTGATGAGGGGCTATACCCAACCATGTTTGCTTTTTTCTTGGTTTGGACCTTGCGGGATTTGATTCTGTGGTCAAGAATTGGTATTTCTAGCTTACCAGGTTGGCCCACCGGGCCTAATCCTCAGATCATAGTTGGTAGGCTGGTGGCCCCTACTTGACGGGTTGGGCCTTTTTTCAGCCCAGCTGTTTTTGTTTTGTTTTTCTTTTTTCTTCCGTTTTGTTTTGAAAACAGGAAGGCCGTGGGTATGTCGTTTTTTTTCCCTTTGTAGAGGTTCCCATATAGGTGCATGTAGGGAGGTCTTGGAAGACTGGCCGTAGATGTTTGCTGTGTGGATGGACAAATAGGTTAGTAAGGTGGCTGCTGTGAGAACTCGAGTAGAACAGGTTGAAGGCGTCACTCAGTTTACTTTGTCACAGCGAATTCGGTGGAGGGCACATTGATCCCCCGATGGGTTATTTTGTGGATGTATGTGAACGGTGTCTTCCTCACGCACCACTGATGGCCATAACTGAGGTTGAGCAGCTCTATTGGTGACCGAACGGGTTACAGCGTCGAAGTGTCAGTGAGCATCTTACTGTGGTCGTGTATCTGGTGAAGGGGTTGTTACTGTGCAGGGCGCAGGTGGGACGCTGTTACTGTGCTAAGCACGGCTGTTGGGCAGGGCGCTGTTCCCCACTGTGGACCGCTGCTGTGCGCAGCGAATGCTGCTGCTATGGTGGTTATACCGCTGCTGTTTTTTTTAGGCTGCTCAACGCTTTGGTCCAGCTGCGGTGCCATCATCGTGCTTCCCTTCACTGCGGTAGTACTGTGTGGTCGGTTGCGTGCTACTATAAACACCACTGCGTGTTGAGTCCTACTCTGAACGTCTCTGAGTGCGGCACTAGGAACAATGAATGGTTGGCCATTCGCATGAGCGAGTTGTGCGGTTCTGCTATTTTGACCAACACAGCGACGGTTGAGCATCACTGCTGTGCACTACCAGGCCCCTGGTGCTCCGTACTTCTACAAGAACTGCTTTGTGAAGAAGCCGGTGCTGCAGCTCCAAACTGCGGTGTCGTGCTGTTACACTTCGGATAGAGACAACTGCTTCCCTCCGTCTGCTGGCACTGCTGCGCTGCGGAGCGGGGCTGAACTCGCTAAGGTTGACTGCGCGAATCGCTGCTTTGGTGGTAGCTTGTTATAGCCTTGAAGGCTGATCACGCGCGGATGATGGGCCAGCAGCTGCCTGATTGAGTTCGACTGCGGACATTGCACTGTGAATAAAGCACGGGGGCGGACTCTATTTGGGCGATGCAGTACGAAGCTGCGTAAATGTGTCCTGACGGGTGGTTGAAATGTGGCAGTTTGGGAGTGTGAACGGAGGTTGTGGATGGGTTACTGCTGCTGCGTTCCAGCAGAGTGCTGCCACGGTGGGTGGGTTGCTGCTGCAAGATCGGACTGCCACCACACATAGGTCGGGCGTTGCTGCTGTGTTGGGCAGTGATTTAGGCACTACTGCTGAAGCAAGGCGCTGTTCCCCACCTCGGACCACTGTTGTGCGTGTCGTATACGGTGGCAGTATCGCTACTACTTTCGGGAGGCTGCAACTACGGATTGTGTGTCGTTGAGCCCATATTGGGCTGCCGTAGAACTGCGGCAGCAGTGTACCACGGTTGTTCCTTTTTACAGCGGGGCTGCTGGTGGGGGTTGGAGGACAAACAGGGAGATGTTGTTCTGAATCCTGGCCGGGATCGGACTATTTCATGCGTGTTTCTGACCATCATTGCGGGGCCCTCAGAAGATTCAAGATTCCAAGGCCCTCTCCTGTGAGTCTGAGTGCACCCCTCCAGTATCTGAGAGTCTTAATGTTTCTTTCGCCGTCTTTCTTACTCTTAATCTATTCTAAGGTTACGAGAGGAAGGTGGTAGGCGAGATTCCAACCCGTAGGTCCGCGTCAAGACCTTGTGGGAGGTTCACCCACCGATTGCGGGAGCTCTGCCGGAGCCCAGGCGGGGTTCTGGAGGCAGGGAATACTCAGGTATAATTTCGTCTGACGCGTGTGATACCTTCCTTTATCTGCTATCCCCTGGGTATCTGAATACAACTATGTAAGAACATGACTTTCTGTATTGCTATGTATGTCAGAACATGTTTGGTGGAAAGGTAAACGAACAAGTGTATGTGCGAGATCAGATAATACCTTGAGAGAATTTAGGCAAAATGAACTGGGGAAAGGTGGGATGAAGGTGTGTGCATGTGTGTGACTGGGTCAACGCAAGGCTGAGCTCCTCTAAGTTGATGTGGGCTCAGTGCTGTATTTTATTTATATTTGTTGGACTGACTGTATGATCTTGAGGGCTGGGCCTATCCTAAGTTGGACGGACCAGTCGCTGTTTTTCTGGGGTTTCTGAACAGGAGGATGGACACCCTAAGTTGGGAAGGCTCAGAATCCTGTTGTTTCTTTTTGGGTTTGCTGAAAACAGGGTTGGGAATACACTAAGTTGCGTAGACGTAGTTCTGTGTATGTTTTCTCCTGAGGGGGACAAAAGTATGAGACTGAGCGTACCCTTAAGTTAGGGCGGCTCAGTCATAAGCCATGAACATAAAGGCCAACCAAAGGTATAAAATTTTGATATGTATTATACAAATTTATATCATCTGGCAAACCGGGCACCGTAAGTTGGGAGAGCCAGTCAGTAAGTCAGGTAGGACAAGAAGAAGAGAAAAACTATGAAGAATATAATGAAGGTAACCAGGGCAGGCTGAGCGTACCCTTAAGTTAGGGCGGTTCAGTCTTATGCTCGTGATAATATGGAGCAGAGAATTAGTATAAACTTGTTTTATTTTCCCTTCTAAACACAAGGCAGGATTGGATGTCTCCCTAAGTTGGGTAGGTCTGATTATCTGCCTAATAAGAGAGAAACACATAAAGTTTGTGCAAGTATACCAATGGTTGTTCCTTTATATTGTCGTTACGAAGACTAATCGTACTCGTAAGTTAGGGCGGCTTAGTCATACGTCGTTTGTACCTTGTTCAGGCAGATCATGCCTTATGTACCTAAACTGTTTAAGCTAGCTAGGCGTACCCTTGAGTTAGGGCGGCCTAGTGATATGCTATTGTCGTTGATGTTATGTAGGTTGGACGTACCCTTAAGTTAGGGCGGTCTGACCATTCGTCGTTCGTACTAGTTTTAGGCAGGTCAGGCACACCCCTAAGTTGGGGCAGCCTAATCCTATGCCCTACGTAAACTTCGTTTAAGGCTGACTAGACATACCCTTAAGTTAGGGCAGTCTAGTTTATGCTTCATGTCGTCAGTTCAAGCAGAAGTCAGGTGTACCCTTAAGTTAGGGCGGTCTGGTCATATGTTTTATGACTAGAATTCATGTGGTGTTGGACATACCCTTAAGTTATGGCAGTCCAGTTGTATGTACCTTACTTGTTTACTTAGGAAGGTTGGTCATACCCTTAAGTTAGGGTCTTGTCTGATCCTATGCCATAAGTATGGGGGTCTACCAAGGAAAAACAACTGAGTGATTCAACGAACTACTTGGGAAATTGATGTGGGATTGTGAGAGATGTTTGCTTATGCATACTTGTGGGCTCTCACTCGGGGCGTCTTTTCGATAGGTTAGCTGCCTAGATGCTCGCCAAGTGTTGGAGCCATAGGTAGATGAGATGGATGATGGGAGGGAGAACTTGGGATGAAGATAGGATTGAACCTGCTAGAAGTTAGGATCAATGCTAGCCCACAATCTCATTTAGAGATTATGCAGGTCGTCGTTGATGTTGAATTATCAAGCAGGTGTCAGAAGTTAGTCCCAAGTATAATTGCTTTGTCTTTCCTTCTTTTCAGCTTTGTATAAATCTTGACAACCTCTTGTTCCTACGGGAAGCGCTGATGAAATT